ATGTGTGAGTGTGTGCTGGTGGAGGGATACAAGTGAAAGACCAATGTGTGTGTGCTGGTGGAGGGATACAGTGAAAGACTAATGTGTGTGTGTGATAGTGGAGGGATACAAGTGAAAGACCAATGTGTGAGTGTGTGCTGGTGGAGGGATACAAGTGAAAGACCAATGTGAGTGTGTGCTGGTGGAGGGATACAAGTGAAAGACCAATGTGTGAGTGTGTGCTGGTGGAGGGATACAAGTGAAAGACCAATGTGAGTGTGTGTGCTGGTGGAGGGATACAAGTGAAAGACCAATGTGTGTGTGTGATGGTGGAGGGATACAAGTGAAAGACCAATGTGTGTGTGTGTGCTGGTGGAGGGATACAAGTGAAAGACCAATGTGAGTGTGTGCTGGTGGAGGGATACAAGTGAAAGACCAATGTGTGTGTGTGTGGTGGAGGGATACAAGTGAAAGACCAATGTGTGTGTGTGATGGTGGAGGGATACAAGTGAAAGACCAATGTGTGTGTGTGTGCTGGTGGAGGGATACAAGTGAAAGACCAATGTGTGAGTGTGTGCTGGTGGAGGGATACAGGTGAAAGACCAATGTGTGTGTGTGATGGTGGAGGGATACAAGTGAAAGACCAATGTGTGAGTGTGTGCTGGTGGAGGGATACAAGTGAAAGACCAATGTGAGTGTGTGTGTGTGGTGGAGGGATACAAGTGAAAGACCAATGTGTGAGTGTGTGCTGGTGGAGGGATACAAGTGAAAGACCAATGTGTGTGAGTGTGTGCTGGTGGAGGGATACAAGTGAAAGACCAATGTGTGAGTGTGTGCTGGTGGAGGGATACAAGTGAAAGACAATGTGTGAGTGTGTGCTGGTGGAGGGATACAAGTGAAAGACCAATGTGTGTGAGTGTGTGTTGGTAGAGGGATACAAGTGAAAGACCAATGTGTGTGAGTGTGCTGGTGGAGGGATACAAGTGAAAGACCAATGTGTGAGTGTGTGTGCTGGTGGAGGGGATACAAGTGAAAGACCAATGTGTGAGTGTGTGCTGGTGGAGGGATACAGGTGAAAGACCAATGTGAGTGTGTGCTGGTGGAGGGATACAAGTGGGAAAGACCAATGTGTGAGTGTGTGCTGGTGGAGGGATACAAGTGAAAGACCAATGTGAGTGTGTGCTGGTGGAGGGATACAGGTGAAAGACCAATGTGTGTGTGCTGGAGGAGGGATACAGGGAAAGACCAATGTGAGTGTGTGCTGGTGGAGGGATACAGGTGAAAGACCAATGTGAGTGTGGTGCTGGTGGAGGGATACAGGTGAAAGACCAATGTGAGTGTGTGCTGGTGGAGGATACAGGTGGGAAAGACCAATGTGAGTGTGTGTGCTGAGGTGGGATAGATGGGGAAAGACTGTATGTGTGCTGGAGGAGGGATACATAGACCCAATGGTGTGTGGGATATACAGGGAGAAGACCAATGTGTGTATGGGAAATGGGATACAAAGTGAAAGACCAATGTGTGTGTACTTGCTGAGGAGGATACAGGGGGAAAGACCAATGTGTGTGTGCAGGAGGAGGAATACAGGTGATAAACCAATGTGTGTGATGGCTGGAGGGGATAAGAGAAAGACCAATGTGTGTATGGAGGAGGATACAGGTGAGAAGACCAATGTGTGTATGTGTGGAGTTAGAGGGGATACTGGGGGAAATAACAATGTGTGTATGTTATGACCAATGTGTGTATGCTGGAGGAGGATACGGGGGAAACCAATATGTGTGTATACTGGAGGAGGATATGGGGGAAGACCAATGTGTGTATGCTGGAGGAGGATACAGGGAAAGACCAATGTGTGTATGCTGGAGGAGGATACAGGGGAAAGACCAATGTGTGTATACTGGAGGAGGATATGGGGGAAAGACCAATGTGTGTATACTGGAGGAGGATACGGGGGAAAGACCAATGTGTGTATACTGGAGGAGGATACGGGGGAAAGACCAATGTGTGTATGCTGGAGGAGGAACGGGGAAAGACCATGTGTGTATGCTGGAGGAGGTGTGTGTGTATACTGGAGGAGGAATACCAATGGGGGAGGAGGAAAGACCTAATGTGGTTATGGGAGGAAAAGACCAATGTGTGTATGCTGGAGGAGGATACGGGGGAAAGACCAATGTGTGTATACTGGAGGAGGATACTGGAGGAGACCAATGTGTGTATGCTGGTGGAGGATACGGGGGAAAGACCAATGTGTGGAGGATACTGTGGAGGAGGATACGGGGGAAAGACCAATGTGTGTATGCTGGGAGGTGTGTATGCTGGAGGGGATAAGGGGAAAGACCAATGTGTGTGTATGCTGGAGGAGGATATGGGGGAAAGACCAATGTGTGTATACTGGAGGAGGATACGGGGGAAAGACCAATGTGTGTATACTGGAGGAGGATACCGGGGGAAAGACCAATGTGTGTATACTGGAGGAGGATACGGGGGAAAGACCAATGTGTGTATACTGGAGGAGGATACGGGGGGAAAGACCAATGTGTGTATACTGGAGGAGGATACGGGGGGAAAGACCAATGTGTGTATACTGGAGGAGGATACGGGGGAAAGACCAATGTGTGTATACTGGAGGAGGATACGGGGGAAAGACCAATGTGTGTATGCTGGAGGAGGATACGGGGGAAAGACCAATGTGTGTATACTGGAGGAGGATACGGGGGGAAAAAGACCAATGTGTGTATACTGGAGGAGGATACCGGGGGAAGAGGACCAATGTGTGTATACTGGAGGAGGATACGGGGGAAAGACCAATGTGTATGTGTATGCTGGAGGAGGAGGGTACGGGGGGAACACCAATGTGTGTATGCTGGAGGAGGATACGGGGGGAACACCAATGTGTGTATGCTGGCTGAGGATAAGGGGGAAAGACTGTGTATTTGATGAAGGGGGGATACAAGGAAAAGACTGTGTATTTGCTGAAGGGGGGGGGGGATACAGGGAAAGACCAATATATGTGTTTGCACTGGAGGTGGGATCTCACTAGGAAACAATCTGTGTGCTGGAGGCGTGATGTCACTGGGGAAGGACCAGGAAAAGGCTGAGTTCCACACTTGCAAAGTTGGTGTAAATGTAGAAATCACACATTACAGGTTACCAGGGAGCTCCTTATACAAATTTAATCTTTGCATTAAAACTCAGGCTCTGGCATGGCCCCTCCCAGCTCCAGTTTTACTTCTGGCCCCTCGCTGACATCAGCCCAGAATATATGATAGACACCAGTACTGATGTTGTATCTCCACCCCGTCTACATTTGTCCATTTACATAGTGCAGCTTTTGATGAAACTAGGCTTGCATTTTAAATCTGTATTTTGTTTTTTTCCTCTATCACTTTCTACATGTCACTCTGTAAATGTGTATAAAGATGGATTAAAGTAATGCAGTCTCTTCCTCCTCTTGTATGTGTCTAGGTATTGCTTAAGTTGGAACTGCGCAGACGTGTAGAAGAATTATTGTCTGAAAATCTGAAACAAGACCCTGTGGATGCTGGGACCAAAGAAAAAGAACATGGAAGGTCTGAAGTTCAATTTTTTTTTTTTGCTGTCTGATTTAAATCCCAGTGCAACCACAGCAGATATTTAAGATTTGCATAGCTCTCTTATGATTTGATCTCTACCAGAATTCCTGGGGAAATTTTGCCAGGGCAATAGATCGCTCCAACATGAACACAGCAATAAAACCAAGAGGTGGTACCCTTTTCCACTCTATTCTAATTGTAAAGCTGAAATTCAGGCTAAACAAAAATTTTCTAAAAAAATCTGTGTATTCTTACTTGAGAATTGGAGGAATATTTATAAAGCAGTCAATTTGACATTCACTGCAGGTGAATCTTCCCTTCATTGCACGTGTTTTAAATGAAAGTGGGAGTCTAGCCAAATCCTAATTATGCTTAAACCTGCTCCCCCCCCCCATTCTAAGCCTGTTATAACTACCCCGTATAGAAAAGATGTCCATACTTGCCTATTCTAAGGGCTGAGGGCACACTGGTCCAGTCGCATGATTGGCTTCAGAGGAAAGGAGGGACAGCAGATAACGGATACCCCATAGTAAGTCTATGGGTGACGTCACCTGGCTACTGGAGAGATCATGTGACCGGATCAGAGTGCCCTCTTTACAGGGTCGTTAGACTAGGCTTAGAATATGGGTGAGAGCAGGTTTAAGTAGGATTTGACTGAATTTCTACTTGAATTCACCTCCAGTGAATGTTTGTGGAAGTCACATTCATCACATTATGATTAGCATAGAACTCTCTCCTTTGTGTATTTCTTACACACTTGTGCAGTATTCCAGCATTAAACAACACCTGCACCAGTCATTGCTGCTCTCTCTCGTTGTGCAGGGTGACTGATCTTGTCTCTGCCCCCAAACAAAGCAAAAGAAGAGGGTGCACCGGCCTCATTCAATGCCATATAAACTCTTAAAAGCGGTAGTAAACCTCTTAAAGAAAAAAAGGTTTTCCCCTGCAAGGTAATATCCTAATGTGCTACTATGCATCACGTACTAGCACATTATGAAATGCTTACCTAAAAAGGAAGCCCTCCAGTGGAATGCTTTCACCGCTGACAGGGCTTCCATCCTCACCCGGGCTTCCTCCCAGGTCCACAGGCTCTGGTCATTTGACTGGCTGAGCCACGATGACATGACTGGCTGAGCCACGCATGTGCGCAGGGAGTGCCGGGCGTGGGACAGAGCACTGAAGGAACTGCATGGGTAAGCCGTTCCTTTAGGGGACATCCCCCGGCTGCTGCTAGCTGGAATAGAGTGCACGTGTAGGAGATATTCATTTTACCTACAGGTAAGCTTTATTGTAAGCTTACCTCTAGGCAAAAATCAAGGGTAGAGAGTTTACTAACACTTTAATAGATTAGGGCTTAAAATTTCAAGTCCTGAGTTACTAGCCAGGCCTTAAGAGTTACTCACCGCCAACAAACACACACAACAGAGACACCTGTACACACACACAGACATGTACGTACATACATACATACACACACAGAAACATGTACACACATGCACAGAGACACGTACACACACAGACATGTACGTACATACATACACACACACACACATACACAGAAACATGTACACACATGCACAGAGACACATGTACACTCACAGACATGTACGTACACACATACACACACACAGAAACATGTACACACATGCACAGAGACACATGTACACACACAGACACATATATTACATCGAGTTTATATAGCGCCAAAGGGCTTGCTCAGTGCTGTACAATAGAGGGGGGGACAATACATGAAACAGTACAGCAACTACAATCAGCACACGAGGGTTTAGAGGGCCCTACTCTTTCGGGCTTACAATCTATAGACACATGTATACACACACAGGCACGTACAGACACGCATACACACATGTACATACACAGAAATACACACGCACAGACACATGTTCATACATACACAGACACATGTACATACATACACAGACACATGTACACACAGACACATGTACGTACAGTCAGGTCCATAAATATTGGGACATGGACACAATTCTAACATTTTTGGCTCTATACACCACCACAGTGGATTTGAAATGAAACAAACAAGATGTGCTTTAACTGCAGACTGTCAGCTTTAATTTGAGGGTATTTACATCCAAATCAGGTGAACGGTGTAGGAATTACAACAGTTTGCATATGTGCCTCCCACTTATTAAGGAACCAAAAGTAATGGGACAGAATAATAATCATAAATCAAACTTTCACTTTTTAATACTTGGTTGCAAATCCTTTGCAGTCAATTACAGCCTGAAGTCTGGAACGCATAGACATCACCAGACGCCGGGTTTCATCCCTGGTGATGCTCTGCCAGGCCTCTACTGCAACTGTCTTCAGTTCCTGCTTGTTCTTGGGGCATTTTCCCTTCAGTTTTGTCTTCAGCAAGTGAAATGCATGCTCAATTGGATTCAGGTCAGGTGATTGACTTGGCCATTGCATAACATTCCACTTCTTTCCCTTAAAAAACTCTTTGGTTGCTTTTGCAGTCTGCTTTGGGTCATTGTCCATCTGCACTGTGAAGCGTCCAATGAGTTGTGAAGCATTTGGCTGAATATGAGCCGATAATATTCCCGAAACACTTCACAATTCATCCGGCTGCTTTTGTCAGCAGTCACATCATCAATAAATACAAGAGAAGCAGTTCCATTGGCAGCCATACATGCCCACGCCATGACACTACCACCACCATGCTTCACAGATGAGGTGGTATGCTTAGGGTCATGAGCAGTTCCTTTCCTTCTCCATACTCTTCTCTTCCCATCACTCTGGTACAAGTTGATGTCGGTCTCATCTGTCCATAGGATGTTGTTCCAGAACTGTGAAGGCTTTTTTAGATGTCGTTTGGCAAACTCTAATCTGGCCTTCCTGTTTTTGAGGCTCACCAATGGTTTCCATCTTGTGGTGAACCCTCTGTGTTCACTCTGGTGAAGTCTTCTCTTGATTGGTGACACACATACACCTACCTCCTGGAGAGTGTTCTTGATCTGGCCAACTGTTGTGAAGGGTGTTTTCTTCACCAGGGAAAGAATTCTTCGGTCATCTACCACAGTTGTTTTCCGTGGTCTTCCGGGTCTTTTGGTGTTGCTGAGCTCACCGGTGCGTTCCTTCTTTTTAAGAATGTTCCAAACAGTTGTTTTGGCCGCGACTAATGTTTTTGCTATCTCTCTGATGGGTTTGTTTTGTTTTTTCAGCCTAATGATGGCTTGCTTCACTGATAGTGACAGCTCTTTGGATCTCATCTTGAGAGTTGACAGCAACAGATTCCAAATGCAAATAGCACACTTGAAATGAACTCTGGACCTTTTATCTGCTCATTGTAATTGGGATAATGAGGGAATAACACACACCTGGCCATGGAACAGCTGAGAAGCCAATTGTCTCATTACTTTTGGTTCCTTAACAAGTGGGAGGCACATATGCAAACTGTTGTAATTCCTACACCGTTCACCTGATTTGGATGTAAATACCCTCAAATTAAAGCTGACAGTCTACAGTTAAAGCACATCTTGTTTGTTTCATTTCAAATCCATTGTGGTGATGTATAGAGCCAAAAATGTTAGAATTGTGTCGATGTCCCAATATTTATGGACCTGACTGTACATACACACACATGTACACACACACAGACACATGTACACACATGTACATACACACAGACACATGCACATGCATACACAGACACACACACACACACACACCCCACCCCTATAAAAAGTTGCAGTATTTCGTTGTTCACTCACAGAGCCGGGTACTGTACTCTAGGGGGAAGCAGAGAGCACAGCACACACTCCTTCCTTTGCTTTCACTGCGCTCAGTTATTGAGCAGTCTGACGGCTCCCAGTGCCACTGACAGATCCGGTCTGAGCTCCAAGCCTGCTCAGCAAGACGGCCCTGGGGGCACACTCGCCCCCACCATAATTTCCACTCGCCATTGGCGAGCAGGTGAGTGGAAATTTCATAAATTTCATATATTGCATATATCAGAACCAGTCCCATCACAGGAAACGTGTGCATACGCAGGGGCACAGCTGACGAGTTTCAGTTGCAAAGCCCTCTTCTTTAGCGCTCTCTTCTTTTGCTTTGTTTATGTATTGGTTCCCCGAACTGAGGTGGACATCCAGGCCGATCCAGTGTGCAGTGGGAAGAAGTCCAATGGCATTATCTGCTTTCTATGGACAAGAGTAAAGAGGAGCTCGCTTTGCACCCCAAAGGGCCTTTCCTGTCAATAGAGCTGACAAAAGTGGTTGTTTCTTCTCCGCCCCCTCCTGTTGTTTTCGGCAGGGTTGCCTGTAGTGGGTTTGGCCTCCTGGGCCTCTCCCACAGTTCTTTTCTCTGCATAGACTATGTACAGCACAGTGATGGTGTCACTGCAACTTTACAAGGCAATATCTAGAAAACGGGTTTTTATCCTTTTTGGGTATTGATGACTATATTTGAGTAGAAGTATTTGTGCCTGCTGTTCAGCTTTAACCTTTCGTGGAAAGCACAATAAAAAAAAAGGATTATTCAGTAAAGAAGTACTAAGTACAGCTATGATATGCGGGATTCACTTATCCACAGCAACGTATAAGATTTCCATGAGATATGATTGGATGTGTTGGTACGCTGTGCACCTTTATTGCTTTTTTTTGTTCTTTAGAAATACGATCAATTAATTTTAGGGGCTTGCTTTGTCTATCAGTTTTGTCCATTTGTCCTTGCAGCTTGGAACCATCCTCGCTCCCGGAGCCTCCAGTGAAAAAGCGAACTCCTCCTAGCACAGCTCCGAAAAAGACAACTGCTCAGCCTGCTCCAAAAGTAAAACTGAAGGGTCGAGGTGAGACGGGAATCATAGATTAAGAGCCGCCGATAAATACACGGCTCAAAAAAATGAAAGGGACACTTTGAAAACACATCAGATCTCAATGGGGAAGAATCTCCTGCTGGATCTCTATATTGATATGGACGGGGTAATGTGATAGGAAGGTAAGGCTGGCCCATCGTTTGATGGAAATGAAAATGATCGACCTACAGAGGACTGAGCGGGATAAACAAAAATACTATCAGATTCCTCCATCTACTGTACAGTATATGAACAAGGTGGATAGAGGAATCCCCCCCACTGGGACACTTCTTTCTGACAGCGATGAGTCCTTGACTGGCTGCAGCTGCTGATCCAGGAAAGCTTTGTAGCAGGTCCTGTTGACAGAAGTCAATAAACCTAACGAGTGGGGATGGCCACATGGTGGTCAGTGTATGGCCAGCTTTTGTCTGGGGGACTATTAACACTGAACAAAGTGATCCCTTTTGAAGGAGAGGCTTGACAGATTGCCCGACCAGGGTTTCCTTCCCACTTTTTTTCCAGTTCGTTTTATTAGTGGGACTCTGAACTAAGCACATTTATAAAGCATATTGCCATAAGGCCATACCACTGCTTTATAGATGAGGCCCTTTGTATTTTTACATACAGTGCTCTTCTATTTTATGAACTGAATTTGTTTTTGCAATAAAGGTCTATTGGGCGTCTTCAAGTAATTCCATTAAATGGGAACTCCACCCGCCCCTGACTCTGCACTGCAAGGGCTCATTTTTGTCCAGGGTACTTTTATGTCCACCTTTAAGAAAAAAATAATAAATGCACATGTTTTTATGCATGAAGATAAAACAGAGATTCCGTAAGAGGTAGGAAAAATGGGAAGCGTTTAAGAGATCAAATAAATATGCTGAAACAAGAGAAATAGAGATGAGAGGAATTGTATAATTAAATGTAGAAAGTAAGATAAAAAGTGGATGAGGAAATCCCGAGGACTTCCACAAGGGGTGAAGAAGGGGAAAAAAGATTGGGTGGGGGGGGGGGGGTTGGGGGTGGGTTGGGGGGGGGGGGGGGGTTGGGGGGGGGGTTGAAGTTGGGGGGGGTGGGTTTGTATGGGGGAAGGTAAAATTGTATTTTGTTTTTGTATTTGTATTTTTATATTAATATGTAATGATATGAGAGCTTATTCTTATTGTACGAAATAGGTTGAAATTGGAAAATTAATAAAATAGATATATTTAAAAAAAAAAAATAATGCACATGTTTTGCAGGTAAAAAAAAATGTGCAATTATTTTTTTTTTAAACAGGTCAGTAGACTGTAGGTGCAATGTCAGACTCATGCAGACATTTCCTATAGCTCTCTGCTAGTACTTCTGTATGGAATTTACTGAGCTGCAGGAAGTGTCAAGTGGCTATGAGTGCGCTGATCAGCGTGGTTGTTGTGCATTGAGAACTACAAGTCCATCTGCCGCATTGGCAGACAGTACTTGTAGTTTATTCATTCACAGATCTCTGCAACAGCCTGGATGATTTTAAAAGTGACAGCTGCTGTGGGGGAGAGGAACTCCCACTTGCTTCTATGGGACTCGGGGTGAGGGTTGGGGTGCTTAGCAACATGGTATCCTAAATACAGTTGTCACATGTAACATGTTGCTAAAGGTGGAGAGAGCTCTTACAGGTCCAAAACACAGTCATGTGAGGGAGGGGAGCAGATCATTAACCCGCTGTATGCTCTGACACTGTTCACAGTTAGACTCATGGCTCCAGCTGACAGAGCGGCAGAGAAGCCTGGCAAAGGGGAATATCAATGGCTGGATAGGGTAAGAACCTGGCAAAGGGGAATATCAACGGCTGAATAGGGTGAGAACCTGGCAAAGGGGAATATCAACGGCTGGATAGGGTGAGAACCTGGCAAAGGGGAATATCAACGGCTGGAATATCAACGACTGGATAGGGGAGAACCTGGGGTGAGAAAAGGGGAATATCAACGGCTGGATAGGGTGAGAACCTGGCAAAGGGGAATATCAATGGCTGGATAGGGTAAGAACCTGGCAAAGGGGAATATCAACGGCTGAATAGGGTGAGAACCTGGCAAAGGGGAATATCAACGGCTGGATAGGGTGAGAACCTGGCAAAGGGGAATATCAACGACTGGATAGGGTGAGAACCTGGCAAAGGGGAATATCAACGGCTGGATAGGGTGAGAACCTGGCAAAGGGGAATATCAACGGCTGGATAGGGTGAGAACCTGGCAAAGGGAAATATCAATGGCTGGATAGGGTGAGAACCTGCCAAAGGGGAATATCAACGGAGAACTGGATAGGGTAAGACCATTCAAGAGAACCTGTCACTTTGCCCTGAATGGTAATGAATAGTTAGCCAGTGATTCAGTCTAAGATATCACAGTTGGGTGAGCTGAGCCTTTAGTGGTTCCACTTTGTCTGTTGGAATTTTTTTACATTGTATGTAATTGTTTTTCCAGTATGGGGGTTTAACTTTTGCTCTTGTTTGTTTTTTTCTTTATTGCTTCTATCACCGTTACGGGGATTCATCTTTCCTCTCTATCTGTTCCATCCCTTTTGCCTTGTGCACATTGTGGATTAATGAATTCCTTTCACTGTGACACCTTATTTTGGGGATAATGGGGGTTATGCTCATAATTATATCACATTTTCCCATAGATCCCTCTCCACTGCAGGACTCCCAGTTCCTTGTTCACAGTTTGGAAGGGCACAGTGATATTATAACTGCTGTTCTCATTCACGATAGATATGTCATTTCTGGGAGGTGAGACAAGCAGGAGTTTTTTAAAAATATACATTGAGGGTCCTGTTTACATGTTATGCAAAGGAACAAAGCTGCACTCATTCACCTCACCCAATGCTATTCATCAAGGAACACTGGTGTTCAGCTTTTGCTCTGGCAAGCTGCTTCAGTAATGATCATTACAAACACAGGCTTTTACTCCAGTAAAGATCGTTCGCATCCTTTACTGCATCAAATGGCTAAAAAACAGCTTGACCGGTACACTGATGCATTTCAGTCGCTCTGGGCCTTACTCATAGCTACTTGCTAATGCTTCAGCATACCTGCCGAGCTTTACAGCCGCTGCATATTTCAGCCTGTCGATTTTGACAGATTGCTGGTAGCAGGCTGTACGCTGCACTTGTGACTCTCGGGCAGAGAATTCTGCCTGAACATATGCTTTATGGCCGTATCCATGTACCCAAATACTGGCCCCAACTTTTAATAAACAGATTATTTCAAATACAGGCCGGCACTCCAGTAAAGATCCTTGGTATCCTTTATTACAGGAAAGTAGTCAGTAACTATGGGTAAGGCCCAAGCTGCTGAAATGCGTTAGTGTACCTATATAGCTGTTTTTTTTAGCTGTTTGATATAATACAGGATACCAAGGATCTTCACTGGAGTGCTGGCCTGCGTTTGTAATGACCTATATATAAAATGTTGGATCCTGTATTTGGGCACATATACACGGCTGTAAATCATACATTCAGGCAGGGTGGATTTGATTTAAATCAAACTGATTTAAATCACGATTTAAATCACTAGTCAGTAAGGCTTGATTTAAATCCTAGTTTTCTACATAAAGACTAATTCTTGCTGGTATAACTTTAATATACAAGTAGTACTTTTCATATTAGTTTTTTATCCCCAGTTTAATAGGTTAATCATTCATATTTGGACAGCTTTTCTGTTGTACTTAGGAAGGAGAAAAATAATCATTACCTTAATAATAACAATTTAAATAGATTTATTCAACTGAAACAATAACATTACAGCATATGTGATTTGCTTAACCTCTTGCCGTCCGCCTGCTGTTTATAAACGGCAGGGCGGTGGCAGTCCAGGGGCGGGTTGCCGTTCCTAAACGGAACCCGCCCTTTCTAGCTGTGCGCGCTCTCTGGGAGCGCGCACACCACCGCGATCCGGTGCCCGCTGTGTCCTCCGGACACAGTGAAACACCGATCGTCGGACGGGACCTCTGTACGAGGTCCCGATCATGTGATCACTGATTGGCCAATCAGTGATCACATGCAAAGTAGTAAGCAAGATGTCACTTGTGACATCATTGCTTACTACGTGTGAAATCTGTGAATGATCACAGAGGTCACATGGTACAGGGCTATTCACAACAGCCT